GGAGATGCAAAATATATATTGTTTAGCAGAAACGATATGCTTAGGTGCTTTTGAATTTGATCTCTCATATATTAGACAAGAATCAAGATACATGAAATTGTTCGGGTTCCACCGCTATTAGTTCATATTACTGTTTGATTTTCGTTCTCAAAATTCCGAGGAAGGGGTTTTCTTTGACCATTCTGTTTGTTTTTGTATGGTGATGAACAAGGGAAATATGTCCGTGGCTGGTTGATGGAATAAGCGGAAAAGTCACCACAATATTATCTCTGTAAGCTTTGATTAGCAGCAGGGTGGAACCTGGTGTTTAAACGATGGGAGGTGATTTTGTACATACTTCTTTGTTAACCTAGCACACAACATTGTTTATTAATGTGCTAAATAATAGAAGATTTTCGGGGCAGATTTAGAATTTTAAACATGTGTGCAGAAAAAGGCGTGCGAAATCATTTCCCTAAATGATTTGCAAGTGGTCATCTACCACAATGGTGTGGTGGAGGGGAGTGTTGCTTTTGCATCAGTGTGAGTGTGAATTTCGTCGGCTCTCTAATCTAACAAATCTTTCGTTTGACAAAAAAAAATAAAAATAAAAATAAAAATTTGAGCGAAAGGGTTTGAGGTGGAACATACACTAACTAAACCTAAGAATTTTGCATCCTTATAGGTTATGCTTGGAGTTTGATTTTGTATTTGCCACTTAGGCCTCATTTGGCATACTGTATAAAGCACTGGATAGGGTAGGACTATTTATAGGGAGCCAGTTGTTTGGTGCCCCAATTGGATAAATAGTCACCCGACAATTAATCTGGCCCCACTTAAATAACACGCTTCACACCTGCTAAATAGTCCACTCCAGAGTATTTGTATAATTAGTCGGCTCCATAAAACGCATGCTAAGTTCAATCTTCTTCTTCTCCGGCCGAAGCTTTTAATCCATTTCTTGTAGAGCGGTATGAGAAACTAGGAGGTGGGGTTCACTGGATTGGAAGGTCCATCAATGGGATTTACTGGTGGAAAAGATATGAATAAAGGAAGAGGACAACCAGGTTTTCCATTTTCATTCCTTTATTTTATTTTTATTTTGGGTAAGTCTCAGTTTACTACCCTTAAGTTTCGTGATTTTCAACATTTGGTACATGAAGTTTTTTTTCGTCCCAGAGTCATACCTAAAGTGTTAATTTTGGAACAGTCTTATACATCCGTTAATTTGACTGTTAAATCTCTCGTTAACTGATGACGTGACGCTCATGTGGAGAATGATTGGACGTCACGTGTCATTAAGCAGGTCCATGTGGAAATTAAAAATTCAAGTTTTTTTTTTTGTTGTCTTCTACCTCCCCCACCTTCCCTTCCTCCCTTATCCCTCCATTCTCTCCTCTGCACCAACCAACCAAACCTTCCTATCCTCTCCTCTTTGACTCGTCATACATCCACCCTTCCCATTCCATCTTCGACTCCACCCATCCTCTTCTGCGTATTACCCCCCAGCCCAATGATAAGTCCGATAAAATTGTATTTGGGATATTCCTTCATCGGTATGTAAAGCTTCTTATGAAGCCTGGGTGGCCTGTAATCAGCCAGGGGCTTAAATGCCGAGTTCCTCTTCATAATCTGAGCAATAATTTCCTGCCTTTCTTTGTTCAACCTTTCACGGGCACAGAACTCTCTAGTATTAATCCTAATTCCCATGGTATCATATATAGGTTCTAGTGAAGGAAACCTAGCCTCTTCAGGACGATCATCTAAGGGCAAACCCGAAGACAGCAGTCGACTAATCTCAAGTGACTTACTATTCAAAGCTTGAATTTCTGGATCAAACTCAATACCTTCCATGAAATTCGGCAACTGAATCGCTTCGGCTCTTCATGTGCCCACCTCGACTTCCTCTTCCTCGTCCCACTGCTCGTCTCACCACCACCACTTTGATTCTCCGACTTGAGCTGAGGATCCCATCAACTGCGACGATGCCTGTTGGTCGTCTTCTCAGTAGCGGCTTGGGGATTTGGGAATGGGTTTTGAGCATCGAAAGCTACGGTTTTAGTGGGCGGCGGTTGAGGCGGGCCAGTTGAATCTAATGCTAGGATTTTGGTAGGAGGAAGGGGATTGAAATCGTAAAAGGGTAGGGTTTCAGAAGGAAGGGGATGAAGATTAAGGATGAGGATCTAGGGATTCGATTGGAGGATGAGGGTTAGGGTTTAATGCCTCAATGGATCTGAGATTGGAGAAGCTTCGAGTGCCAGAGGTCTAGGGAGAGATGTGTGTTTGCTCCTAAAGACGAAATTTTTTGGGTAGATGGGGTTTGGAGGTTGGAGCTCATGAAGGCCATTGAAGAGAAGATGAGGGTTAGGTGGATGGGTGAAGTCGAAGATGGAGGGGAAAGGGTGGATGTATGATGAGTCGAAAAGGAAAGGCGAGGAGGGTTTGGTGGGTTGGTGCAGAGGAGAGAATGGAGAGATAAGGGAGGAAGGGAAGGTCGGGGGAGGTAAAAGACGAGCAAATTGTTTTTTTTTTGAATTTTTAATTTCCACGTGGACCCCTTAATGACATGTGGCGTCCAATCATTGTCCACATGGGAGCCACGTCATTAGTTAACGGGATACTTAATAGCCAGACTAACAGATGTATAAGATTGTCCCAAAATTAACACTTTAGGTATGACTCTGGGACGAAAAAAAACTTCATGTACAAAATGTTGATAACCACGAAACTTGAGGGTAGTAAATTGAGATTTACCCTTTTATTTTTATTGTCGTCCAGGCAAAGGACAAACAAAAAATAACAATATGGAAAACCTTTTACAAGCACAGTATTAAATAGTCAGTCTTTAGTTCGATATTGCACCTAACACCTGACTAATGTAGTCGGGTACCATCTGACGACAAATTATCCTATCCGATTGAAAAGTCAATACAGTTCGAGCTGCCAAACGAGACCTTAGTATTACAGATTAGTAATATTCTTATTCACTGATAATTGAGATGTTTCAAATTCGATTCCCATTGAATCACATAAAAAAAAATAAAAATAAAAAAAAAACCAAATGTGCAAAATTCAAATGTCAATTGTAACTTATCCAAATTTAAATTAAAAAAAAATTAAGATGTTCAAAATTAAATATTGACATTCGACAACATATCCATTAAATATCAACGTCAAATACAAATCGTTTCAGCAATTAAACATTGAAAAAAAATCATTTTGACTAATTTGTGAAATTAAATTACAAGTCTTTTTGGTGTCAATAAATATAGGATAATGTTATTCATACATTTATTTTGACATTCTTGTTAACATTCGGTCATTAATCTTCTTTAATTAATTCGATCCAACGGCTAAAAATTTAAAAAAATGTGTAAAAAATAAAAATGAATGTGTGGATAGCAATATGCCAAATAACTTTGGCCTTTACTTTTGCTTTTGTTTTATTATTTTTATTCTAGAGGAAATTGTAGAAAATAGTCTATCAACTTTAACTCAATTGAAGAAATGGTCCCTCAACTTTATTTCCATAACCATTGGTCCCTCAACTTGTCAAAATGTGTAGCTATGATCCTTTTCCTTAACACCGTCAATAACTCCGTTAAATTCAGTCATGTGCGTGGCACATGACACTAACTGTAAGGGCAATTTAGGAAACAAATTATTTCCTAGATAAAAGCATCCTCATCCCTAGGTTGAAGTCGATACCCATCCCCAGGTTGAATTCAATACCCATCCCTAGGTTGAAGTTGATACCCATAGCTAATTTTAGGGTTAGTTTAGCAGATGACGATGGAATTGTCGGATGTCATGAGGTGGACCGGAGATCCTCCGAAATATTGTAAGGTTTTCCGAAAAACTTGAACCTTTTTATAATTTGTTATTCTATATGGGTGTTTTCGAGGAGAAGATCTACCTTTTATTAGTTGATTTCTTCATCTCTGTCATGCTTTCTTTTGAGATTCTTATGTCTGCAACTTTTGTTGATATTATAGTGTTTGTGCTCCTACATTGGGGTCCCAATGTTGTCGGTTTGTCATCACTTGGTTTCGCATTTGTTTGGAGCTTGTATTGTCTATGTTGCCATTGAGGCAAATGCTCACAATTACTAAGCCTATTTAGGCAGGTGTGCACATTTACTCTACCTATTGCTTCTTGCCTTTAATCACTCAATCTTGGGTTTTTTTTTTTTTTTTTTTTTGGTGCAGCTAACCCTGAAGAGTGTACTTTTGCACTGAATCATGGTGGTTACTTGATGGATGGTGCTTATATTGGTGGCAAAGTGTGTTATTTGGACCATGTGACGGATGATTATCTGTCATTGTTATAGTTTAGAAAAATTGGGAAGTATGTAGGTTATGATGAGAATGATCTTTTCTCAGGGAAAGTTCAAATACACTACAGGGTGCCAGGGACATTTAAAGAGATTGTGTACAGTTGTCACCCTTATTGGTAAAATACCATCAAATAGGTTTGTTGAGATCTTCTATGTGGGTCCTGATGCAAGCAAGGAGTTTGGTAGTCAATTCTTTTTGGAGTGGCCTACTTTGGATGATGATGAGTTTAACTTGGATGGTTTTGGCGAGATTGGTATTAATCAACCAACTGACACTGACAAAGGTGAGTAAAATGAAGAAAATGATGACGACTTTGTTGATAGTGAGTACGAGTAGAGTGAAGATGATGATAAATTGTATGAGATAAATGTTGAAGAAGGGCTAGAGAATTTTGAGGCAGAGCCGCCTTTTGAACATACTGGAAATATATCATCGGATGAAGCAAACTCTGAGGATTTTGACAGCCTTGATGAGGGTGAAGATAATATTGAAGAAATTGAGTCAAATAAAAAGAGGAAGAAACGAAAGCCGAAGTTTAAAACATGGAAGATGCAAATAGACTTTAAAAATCCTCAATTTAGAATTGGCACGATGTTTGCCAACAAGAAAGAAGCTAAAGAGGCTATGGAGCATCATTTTATGAGGACTGGTAGAGCTATTAGATTAAAAAAAAAAATGACAAGACGAGATTGAGGGCTATATATGAAGGGTCAGAAACTTGCCCATTTATGATTTTCGCCGCAAGGAAGAATCCAAGGTGGGATACCTTTGTTATAAAAACCGTGCAGTTAGAGCACCAATGTAGGAGGGTAGACAAAGTTCTATATGCAGATTCAAGATGGCTTTCAGAGCACTATATAGACAAACTTAGAACAAATCCAAATTGGGATGTTGATGACATCATGGCTGAGGTTAGAAGAGAGTTCAACTTGGTGGTTACTAGAAACCAAGTTTTCAGAGCTAAAAGGCTTGCTAGAGAAGTGATTAAAGGCAGTTATGTGGAGCAATATGCACAATTATGGGACTATGTGGAAGAGCTTAAGAAGGCCAACGAAGGTAGCACAATCAAGGTGAAGACTCAAATGGACGGTGATGATATTCTTTTTCAAAGGATTTATGTGTGTTTGGCAGGGTGCAAACAAGGCTTTTTGGAAGGCTGTAGGCCTGTCATAGGAGTTGACGGTTGTTTTATTAAAGGCCCTCATCTGGATAGATTTTGACGGCTGTTGGGATTGACGGCAACAGTGGTTTATTCCCAATAGCTTATGCAATTGTTGAGATAGAAAACAAAAGCATTTGGGTTTGGTTTTTGGAGCTTTTGATTGCTAATTTGAAAATTGAGAATGGCTTAGCATGGGATTTTGCAAGTGACAAGCAAAAGGGTTTGGAATCAACAATAAAAAAAATTGCTCCCAACTGCTGAGCATAAGATGTGTGTTAGGCACTTACATCAAAACTTCAAAGCTTCTGGTCTTCAAGGGTTGAAAATGAAAAATATTTTATGGGCAGCAGCAAGGGCAACAACAGTGCCATGGTGGAAGGAAGAGATGGAAAAGATGAAAAATCTACATGAAAAAGCATGGGAATGGCTTAATGATAGGCCTGCTAATAATTGGGGTAGATTTTGCTTTAATACTCACTTTAAGTGTAATGTTCTACTTAACAACTTATGTGAGAGTTTTAATTCTGCTATTCTTGTGGCAAGGAATAGGCCTATCTTGGGACTTCTAGATAACATCAACATGTATATCATGCTTAGGATGGCCAATAAGAGAGCTGCTGGGAGGAATTGGAAGCATCTAGTTGGTCCAAGGATTTTCAAGATAATTGAGAAAAGCAAAGTGGAAAATACTTATTGTATTCCTAAGATGGCTGGTGATAAGGAGTACCTAGTACAACACATAAGTGGTAGACAATTTGTAGTGAAGTTGAAGGAGTCCACTTGCTCATGTAGGAGATGGGATTTAAGTGGGATCCCATGCTCACATGCAATTGCTTGTATATTCGCCAGAGATGAGATTGTTTACACCTATGTCCATGACTGCTACGAGAAGGAAGCTTACTTGAACTCCTATGATCCTATGATCCACCCCATTCCTAGAATGGATTTGTGGGATATGACGGATTTAACTCCATTGAAACCTCCAATATGCAAGAAGCAACCTGGCAGGCCAAAAAGAAAGAGAATTATGTCTGTAGGTGAAGTTAAGCCACAAGCACACTATCTTCCACCACCAACTAATCTATTGGGTGAGCACAATGACACACTGCAACCTCAGAGACTTAGAAAATGGTTTGTAGAGATAGCTTGCGGTAAATGCAGAAAGTTGGGGCACAATAAAGTAGGATGTGGAAAATCACAACACACGGATGCAACAAATAAGAATCAGGTACACATTTATGCTTTAGTAAATCCTAAAAATCCAAATTAGCAAGTGTTGTATATTAAATTGCAGTTTAATTCATTCTTGGGTTAATGCAGGAGACTCAACAAGTAAACACTCAAGCAACAACTCAAAATGCCCAAGCAAACTCTCAAACTTCAGGGACACAAATGTCTCAAGGGAACACCGAAACACGAGCTCTAATTAACTCTCAAGGAAAGAAAAAGCAACATGTCAGTTCTCAAGTAGGGCAACAAGGAAAGGGAAAACAACCTGTAAGTTTATGTTTGATTATTTTCTCATACATTATATGCCAATTTGATTTGATTCACTGAATCAATTCTTTGATTTAGGTGAGAAGGGGTGGATACAAAGGGATGGGGAACCAAGCAAGACCATAGAGGCTTTGAAATAGATAATATTGCTACTTGTTTTTTGATGTTCATGGACCAAGGAGGCCTCGATTAGTTGATGTTACCACTTGTTTTCTGATGGAGGATGTGAAGACCGTGGTGGTTTTGAAATAGATGATGTTGATGCTTGTTTTTTGATGTGGATAGACCATGAAGGCCTGGATTAGATGATGTACCTATCTTTTTTTTTTTTTTTTTTTTTTTTTCAGTAGTAGATAGTCGTAGACCATGAAGGTCTTATGAATTGTATTTTGATGACTTAAATTCATGACCGGAATGGTTTGTTTAATGTATTTGATGACTAGACGTGTTTGATTAGAATGTTATTTTCATGATCATGATTAAGAATTTGAATGAATGGTAAATGTACATGGTGGGAATTTGAGAATTGGGCATGGAGGAAAGCACACCAGAGCCTTGGAATGGTGAATAAATTCTCCGACTGGTTGGAGATCGTGCCTTTGTATATTATTTGGAATGCTTATATCTGGGAAATAATTTGTTTCCTAAATTGCCCTTACAGTCAGTGTGTGCCATACACATGATAGAATTTAACAGAGTTATTGACAGTGTTAAGAAAAAGAATTATAGCTACACATTTCGATAAATTAAGGAACCAATAGTCGTAGAAATAAAGTTGAGGACTATTGCCCAATTCGTTTTATTATTTTTATTCTATCATGCTATTGATCAACAATTCCAGTCTTCAAGACAAAACCCGGAACATAGCCCGCGGGAAAATGGAGGAAGACGGAGGAGAACCACCTCGACCGCCCCATCCGACGAGCTCCGAAGCCCTAACCTCAGACCCGCGCCTCGATCCACAGTCCACGTGTCCTGATTCCACACTCGATCCCAGTGAGGACAACCGCGCCGATTCGAAACCCCCTCCGATGAACCAGACCGAGATTTTCCGCGCTCTCGAAGTGGTCGAGAGAGACTCCCTGGCCATAGCCGACAGCTTCACCTCCCTCTTCGCCTCCCTCCGCCTGGCCCTCTCCGAGGTCACTCCCTTCATCTCAATTTTGTTTTGGCTTCGAATTCATGTTTGGTTCTCGAGAAAGTGAAGGAAACGGAAGAAAAATTTGTTTTCTTTTATTTTAATTTTTAAAATTTTTTCTCTTGATTAAATCAAAATCGAATGATTTGGGAATTGCTGCAATGATGAAGGTTACTAGCAACTCAGTTGATCACATGCATTGCTTTGGTGACGCTGCTGGCCGCCTTCAAGAATCTGGTATGTTTATGCAAACCATTGTAACGATTTTGTAGTTAGGATGTTTAATTCCGAGTTCCGAATTTATGAAATTGAATAATAGCAATGTTATTGGATTTTGAATTTCAGTGCTTGATGCTGCTACCAAGGGAAATCGGTATATAAATTCATGTCTCAGGTAATTTACTGAAGGCTTTGATCATCTCGTTTTATGATTCGATAAATGTTGGGAGATGGAAATTTCTTTGGATGGTATGATCGCTCAGAATTGTTGATGCATATGATATGATTAAGGTTGTGTAATTTGAATTAGTAACCACGAATAGCGGTTTCTGCAACTTGGTTTCTTCATATAAATTGATGGCTCGTCACCAACCTAATGATCTAAACATGGAGTTATTTGTTTGCTCAGTATACTCATCTCCTACTAATTTATGTCATATGAAAAAGTACTTTTGCAGTCCATGTATATAGAAAGATATAATATTTGTCAAATTCTGTTTCCCATTAACAGTGTGGCACATATTCTTGTTGTGAGTTTGTGACCGGCCACGGAACTACTTCCACAGGGAAGTGTTTACCTGTGTCGGAACAAATCTAGTGATGCATTGCATTGCATTGATACGACCGTGTCTCAGTAACGCCTAGTCTTAACGTGGCTGTTGGGTGCTTGGTTCTAGGATAGTTAAACTTTTAGGTCCCTCATAACGATGGCCTTTCTAAACAAGATGTTGAATTTTCCTTTTTTGGCAGATTAAATGAAGAAATGAAGGGCATTGACAATCTAGCCTTGCAGCTGTATCCTTAACAGTTAGTTACTTTGGGTCTATATGTGTGTTTCATAGTTTATGCTCTTGAATTCCCCCAGACCCACCTTAGCAGTGGTGGTCACTTGCGCTGAAATCAAGGATTCATCCTGCTCTGTCTGCTAATATGAACGCAGCTGGATGCTCGGTGGGTTATCAACCTGCTAGCGGTTAAAATTGCTCATCAACCCAATTTAGAATTCCCTTGAACTGCTATACCTGAAATACTTTGGTTTTGTGATATGGGTTTTCTTCTGTTCCTTAATGCATGACCAGAAAAATCTTGAGGAGAAATGTTGATGCTCTCAACTCAGGTGTGAACAAGCTCCTTCGTCTTCCATGATGTCGACCTGCCTGTTTTTACTGCTACATCAGTTTTGGATGCGGGAACATCTCTTCCATTTATTTACTTATTCCATCAGGAAATTTTGGTTACCGAATTAAATGTGTGAACTAGTCGTCCAATTCGGTTCAACTTAAGCAGATGTGCTATTTCGTTGGCCGATAAGCATTGAACATGGAGAGCATATATGTGAACTATTACGGTGAAAGCAAATATTCATGTTTATATTGTCTGTTCTACCTCTTGGTTCCCTTTGCTATAAAATTATCACCAGCAGCAGATGTTTAGCAAAGCCTATTTGGGGGTCCGAGTCTCTTACCATATGGCAGCTGTGGGCCCAAACCAATCCACCTTGTTTGGTGATTTCCTGGCCCAGCTTGTTAATGGGTTTGGAATGCAGGTCCATACACTATAATTACCAAAAGGGCCCTTTCTATGGCCATCATGTAGGCTTGCATAAGTTAAAATTTTTGTCACTTAGTACTAAGGTCTTGTGTGATTCAGCTTAAATCCTCACTATAGTAGAATATTATTGTACGCAAAAAAAATTCAATAAGTGTATTCTTCATATGTGTAATTTTCTCTCTCTTATATTGAAGTTTTAGCGTACACAATAACTTTTTGGAATGCTAATAACATAATCTAAAGAACAAATCATCATTAAGGGGGCAATAATAAAAAATAAATAAATAGAGTTTCTTGTCAATGCTAGCATATGTGGGTCGGTTGATATCTTGGCATCTTGCATGAAAATTAGTAAGTAGATAGTACAAAGAAATGTCAACACATTGATTAGTATGAGACCAAATTCAATTCCATATAAAAAGTTGAGTTTAGCCAATTGATCTCCTTCTGCGTAGTTTAATTAATTTTAATGTAAATTATCTTATCGTTTATGAAAAAAAAAAAAAAAAAAAAAAAATCTGGAAAAAAACATGCAAGGGCAACTTGGGATATAACATGCTTTTGCTACTGCACAAGTTTGGACATGGTCCAATTATCTATCCTACATCTTCGCTTACACGGTAGTTTATTCACAACCTAATTGTGCTATGTTCGTCTTTTCTTGTGAACTATTGGATTTGCGCTTACACACTTACACTATAGTTTATTCACAACCAAATTATGCTCTATTGTTTATCGAACATATTTTCTTGGATACCTAGAGACACTAAGTACCAATACAAATTTGATCATTGTATTTGATTCACTGGTAAATTGAGTGACTAAAAACTGTTGATTAATTTTAAATTAACAGTCAAATATGTGTGGGCGCATATTATCTTTTAAGCACTAAAAAAAGGCTTGATGAGACAATTAAAATAAATATATGTAAAGGATTGATGGGATAATAGTTATGAGTTTTAGGCAGATTAAAAAATTGATTTGGTGCATGGTGGTGAGTCTAAATTGTCTGCAGCAATAAAAATATAAAATAATGACGTAATTTAATCGTAATTGAACAAATAAAATAAGATAAAAAAAACACCCAAACAGTTGGGTAGATAATCTACCTTTGAATTCCAAAGGCCAATGAGGTTAATTAAAGTCTTGTCTTCAATCTAATTAAAAGCATTTCAATATCAACCACATCATATCTTGGTTGAAACTTGAAAGATTCTCCAGACCTTGGAACCCCTAAAGCTAAATGGCCCCCACATTTATAGTATATTCAAACTAGTCTGGTTATAATATTCAAAGAGGAAGAAAATAAACTTAATTATTAGCCTAATTTGGTGAGAGTCTACTATCTTCATTCCTAGAATTGGTAACGTGTATTTCATTAGTTAGAAAAACATGGTTTGGGATGTAAAGCTTGTTTAGGAATGCTTCTAGAATGATGAAAATGTTTGTTGTCAGCTAAATTTTCTTTTGCTAACATCTAGCAGAAAAAGTTTAAAAAATGTTTCTGGGATCATAGAAGCACAATCACCTCTTTTATGTATTTTTTAAAGAACTGTTTGCTTTATTAATTAAAATTTAAGCGTGATTCCAATAAAAGAACCACTAGCAAAATGGCTTAATTTATAAAAGTGATTCTTACAAAAGCAATATAAATATGTTGTTAAATTGTGAGTTGAAGAGGTGACCCTTAGTTGGATGTTTTCCTCACAGATAACGTTAGTTCATTAATGAATTAGCTTACTTGGTTAACACAAGCATGTTAAGATGAATGCTGATTATAGGATTAACTAATTAATATATATATATATATATATATATATATATAAGTATATGCATTTTTTTTATACAAGCGATAATGAAGTAGAAGAAATTCAAGTAGAATATCTAGAATATGAGTAAAAGAAGAAGACCCTAATGAGTAGGTCAATCAAAAACTTCTTCATACCAAGTATTTCTAATTAAAAATAGAGTAATCATTTTGTACAGGCTACAGTAGTGACAAAGGCGAAGTTACAGAGGCATAAGAAGGGGCGGCCGCCCCTGGAAATCAAGTCGAGGAGAGATGGTTTCTAGCCCTTTGGTCCCGTAAAAAAACCTGCAATCCCGTCTGGTTGCTCTACTGCCTGTAGGGTTCTATTTTTATTTTTTGAAAAATCTAGGCTAAGACGACGTTGTTTTAGTCCTGGAAAAAAAAAAATGTAAAAGTGATGACGTCATTTAGGCATTCAGTTAAAAAAAAAAAAACAATTAAAGCAATCAGAGTACACGCCATGTGCCCCAATTCCCAGTAGCAATAACAGAGATTTCCCTCCCTTCATTGGCCCACACGCAAGCAACCAAGTCCTTAATGAACTTTTGCGTCAAATTCATTAAAGACGGACATGCAATTCGGACTGGAAATGAAGCCCCTTCTCAGTGACACATTGCAATCTTTAAAATCCTCAGACCTAGAATGGGGCAAGGTCAACAAATGAGTGGCACACAATATAAAAGAAGAAAAACTCATCAAAGTCAAGGCTCTGAAGGATATTCCAGGCGAAGTCCTATCATTTTCTCATATTTAATCCGACTAAGGCATCATGGCATGTACATAGCAAAAATTTTCTCATGGGCTTACACCCGGTGTCATAGTAAGGATACTCCGGTTGTTGCAGTGAAAATCCTTATGAACACTTAGTTTGTGAGGTAATATTTTTTCGAATCAACGTTACCTAGGGGGCTTTGAGTTTTGTCCCGGGCTTATAAATTTGTTCGTGTTTTACTATGTTACTCATTACTCTAGAGTTAGATTTACTTGGAAAGATTTGTCGTATTAAAATACTGTTTCTTGATTAGGAAGGAAGGGATGAAAAGTTTCAAGCACTTTATTCTAACAAAATGAACGACTTGAATAAAGTTATAAATTCTCATAAAACATGTGAGCACATGTTTATTATCAAAGTCCCATGAATAGGGCAAAATGAGTACAATTCTTTGGGGAGACAAGCCTTCACCCCTAACATGCCAATTGTCCTAAGGATGCTACATGGTTGACTTGACTAGGATTATCAACTCGGACGAGGTTCAATCTATCGTCAAGCTGATTGGAAGGCTCTACTTCAAGAAAGAATCAGGAAGCCTTCAATGAAGAAGAACCCATTGAAGAATCTCAACACTCTCCTGAAGTTGAATCTGTATACTAAGGCTGTGAGGAGGATGTTGCCAATGATTCAATAAAGGATGATGGCTACGGAACCCGATAAAGGAAGAACAATTATGGCTTATCCATAATTCATTTGATTTTGCTTGATAGAAATAGATATGGTAAGTTCCTTGGTTACAAATTCTAATGATTGAAGGCTCAAAGTAAAAATTGAGTTTGGGAACTGAGGCATGAAAGAGATAGAAACTTAAAAGAAGGAGTTTGAGAAAACAAAACTAAGGTTGGGCTATTTAAAGAGATCTCACTGTCGAGTTTGAAGAATTTTTACCTTGAGATTTTTATGTTCGAAAGATGAAGTCACTTGGTGATTCAAAGAGCCGCCCCTTGCTAAATGTGCATAAGCAACTTAACATCTTTCATCATTGCTATCTACTCTTTACGATTCTCAAGACCAAATGTCTGAATCCGAAACGTCAAAAGTTCACAAGGTTTGAAGCTAGAATGCCACGCGTTAGAAGAATTAAAACGGTATGTAATCCGACTTACTCCAAAGGGCATGGTTTTGGATAACTATCCATTCTTAAGGGAAACAAGTTCTTTCAGATACATAGTTACATAGTTAGGGGCAATTGTAGGACAAAAGTTTGCCAAGGTCGGAGTAAGGCATATCAATATACACATACCTCAAAAGTCTGGTCATGGACTTAACAGCCTCTATTGCGGAGCTGAATAAGCAAAACAACAATACCATCACCATTATGTTCTGAAATCAGTAGGTGAAGTTCAACGACTCCCTTGAGAATGACCATGTTTGTTTTGCAAGACGAAACCTAATACGGCAAAGAATCAACATGTTTCCTATAATCTCGAGGTCCTTACAATCTAAGGATTGGAGTACGCCACAAGTAATCACACTCCTAAGAGGATAGAAACTTCCTATATATCCTTTAGGACTTTCCTAGTTTAATAAGGATTTTACTATCGTAAAAAGTCATCTCCTTGATTGGTATAAATACACGTTTTTAGGGTTCATTTCTAGTAGTGCAATTCTTGCATACTTATTCTCTTGCCTACTGCTTGAGTCTTATATTGCTTACTAACCTGACCGTTAGAGAGTCTATGATTGGCACAGCCTCTCGATCTTTGGGTTGCTTACGACAGTTTATTCTTTTACATGTACTTGGATTTGTGCATCTCCTCCATCAACGGTAGTGCGTGAATTTGGTTCCAACTCTAAGACCATCTCCAACCCATGGGTTAAAACCTAAAATTTAGGTTTTAAACTAACCCAATCCTTCTCCAATGATTAAGCCTAAATTAATTTTTTGGGTTAAAACTTAAAATTTGGACAAATTTAACCCATAATTTAGGTTAGGGTTAAAAGGCTAGCCCACCAAAATTTAGGTTTTAAACTAACCAATCATTCTCCAATGGTTGGATCTAAAATAAGTTTTGGGATTAAAACCTAAAATATATTTGGGCAATTTTGAAAATTTAAATACATTAAATCCAACAGCTACGATCAAATATGATCAAATTTAACGGTAAAAGAAAGATCTAAAGGCCCAAAATAAAATCCAATGACTAAAACAATTAAAAAAATTATTTAAATCAAAATTCATCCAAAAACTCTATAAATATTAAATACATGCTTTGTTGAGTCGGTTTAATGAATTTTCAAATTTTCTCGGA